GCTGGGGTTTCAGTCTGGGAAGATTCTTGCTAGAGGTTGTAGCTAATAAACATAGCTGAACTGAATCTGCACTGTCTCTAGGAGTTCCTTGGGCTAGGCCTGACAACAGCCCTTTAAAGTGATAAATGAATCTGAATTCTACTTCTTGTGAATAAGTATAAATTGATGAAAGGACTGTCAGTGGCAACTGATTTTGACAGAAGGTAGACACATGGGTTTAGCCATTACTCAATGTGCTCCAGATTGTTTTATGTTTGGGCTGCATAAGCCCACTATGGAGTATGTACTATCAAACTGTTCAGGGTTTTGCCCATGCAAGCTGGCTGCAGGCTTGTCCAGGAAAAGCAGGAACACATTTCAATAGCATTTCCCTTTGTCTTTGGAAGCCTAATTAGCTTTTCAAAATTTTGCAAGCCCCCTCAATCCAGTTTGAGAATCCCTTACTAAGGCATTCTGTGGCTGGCTTATTTCTGGTTTAGCATGATATGCAAGTAGAGTCAGTGAATACCAACATTTGAAACTATAGCTTGCTGTAAGGCAATAGAAAACAGGCCCAGGCCAAGAGCATCTTAAAAAAGGAGGGAACACAAGCTATAAATTAGTCAAACAGGCTATTTTGTCTTTGCTAATCTACAAGGCTGACTTTGGGTTGTCCAAAAAACCAGAGTTAAAGAAGGCAGTTCTTTTACATGATAAACAAATACAGGCACCACTGAAGTGATACGTAAGTTTTTTTACACAGTATATAAAATACTATATTTTTCTTTGTCTTAACCACTTTCCAATTACATTAAGTGACTTCAAATTGTAAAATTCTAGTCTTATAGACAAATATTTGTCTCCAAATCCTCTTTTTATAAATGTGTATCGTGACAACTACTGCCACACCCACTTTTCTCCATCATCTTTTCCTTTTTTCCTCAAAAAACCCAAAATATTTAAACCAAATTTAAACAGCAGGCTCTCTTTCAGGCCAGTTGGTGCCATTCCACAATTTTTAGAGAAGGAAGTTTAGAGCAGGTACATGATGTTTCTACTGGATATGTTACCTGTATGAGGACAGAATGTTAAGAGGTGGTGGCGTGTTACAAGTGCTGTATGTTTCAAGGACAGGCACAGGGGCAGAGTCTCTTTCAAACAGCTTTTGGTCCTGAGTTGTGGAGCTCTTGAAGGCTTTCCTGGTGTTAATACCTTGCAAGGACACTATGAAGAAAAAGAAAGAAAAAGAAAGTTGTTTCAAACACAGGTTAATATTTGCCCAATTATTGTTCTTACTGCACTCTGTTCTTATGAGCGCTGAACCTTTTGCCACATCTCCAAGAAAGCTTTTCAAAATAAAACTCTTTTCATAACTCTGATGCTGTGTCAGAAAGGACTGTCAGAAAGGGAACTGTCCAAGAGCCAGCAAAAATGAATACTGGCCAAAGGAGCCAAACTGCTATGGAATCAGTTATTATATTGAAAGCAAAATACCACATAAAGATAATGAATGGCATCTCTCTTTTCTTCTCACAGATTATGGGCAATTCTCACAGTGTTGCCAAATTTTGCCTAGCAGCAATGAGAATGTGGCAACAAATATTATCAAACATGGCTGGGTTCTTGTAACCTTTTTTTTTTAATTAATATTCCCACAGATAATTTCTTGTTGCCTCCTGGATCCTCTGCTATTGTTGTATTTATGAATTTGATGGATTTTATGTGTACACGCTGGTCTCTGACCCTAATTAAAGTCTATCAACAAAAGAATGCTTTAAAAACAAAGCAAAGCATGGAGAATGAGTCCTCTTTAAACAGAGGTGGTTAAAAAAAATCATGGAGAACTAGCATTTGACAATTTAAAAAACATGTATGATTATTTAACCAATCAAACAATAAAACATTTATTGTTTTTAAATTTAAAACATTTTAATTAAAAAAGAAACAACCGTTCAGAAAATTAAGGCTAGGAAGATACCTTTATAGAAATCTAGAGTCTAATAAAGTTCAGATCAATAAGGCGCTTCCCTTCCCACTCTTACCAGCAATCCATTGGATGCAGTTGACTACCTGGACTCACAAAAAGCTACTCTGACAATACCTTGCATGTTTGTTTCTTAATCTCTTCTAAACCTGTGTTCCCTTTCCTTCTCAGAAATGTTGGCAGTTCACCTGCATAGTGAACACAAAAAGCTGAATTCTATGGTTTAATCAGAAGAAAGGGCTGCAGAGAACCTCAAGGCAAGGAGTGCTTCTCTTGAATGAAGTCTGCACATGGTTGCCCTTTCCTCTACACAGAGTAGCAAGCAAAAGACATTCATGCTTCTCATTATTATCAAGTGACTCCTCCCTCCATAACAAAATAAGGCATGATGCCACTTTTATACAAGGATCTCTTGGGCAAGCACAATGAAAAACGTGATGGTCAGCTGAGACTGCTGGGCAATCATCTGGTGACTCAAGGAGATTTTCACATTCACTCCAAAGTCTCAAGAAAGTTTTGACTATTGCTGAAGCTCTTTAGCATAATGTTCTAAAAATGTAACATTATATATACCTTCTTCCTCCTTGGGATCCAACTGAGTAACTTTCACCTGAAGGCGATCAACTCTCTCAGCTAAAGAGCTCACTCGAAAGCCAAATGTGTTTGCTTGTGTAAATATCTCTCCGAATATGTCCTCTGCAGACTTACCTGGAAAAAGAAAAAAGAGGAAGTTAGATTGAAATGCTGGAAAAATTTCCCAGAAAAAAAGCAACAACAAAATCACTTTCATACTATTGCCAAAAAACCCTACATAGATGTGGCCAAGAAGTCACCATGTTGAACTCAACTCAAATTAGTCTTCACCTTAAGCATATGCATAGTTAAATATTTTTACTGCTCTTATTCACAGGATGCAGTTATAGAAAGCAGTACATTTTCTTTCAAAACTAGAACATTAGTAAAAAAAAAAAATTCATACAAACATTTAACATACATACGGTACTTCCTAAGTTAAGCTTATTTACAGTCCCAGACCAATAAAGCATAAAACACAATACTTAAAAGGGCAAGAAAACCAAATCCGAAAGAAATAGCAATGAGCGGGAGGTACCAATTGACTTCTGCAAGCTATAGCTATTGCCATGAATTTAGCAAGAGCATCTTTAAAAATAAAAGGGAGTGATACAGAATTGGTAAGGACTTATTAAGTAGTAAGACAGACAATCAGGAGGCAGCATCACAGCCTAGCAGTCACTTACAACCAAAAAGCAAGATTCTCACAATCTTAATAATCAGATTTACTGAAAGGGTAAAAGGAAGTTAGGTTACAATAATCTTGGCAGCTGGATATGTTTATTTTCCACCTATTTATTTATTAGAGTGGGGATTCCTTGATTCTCCTCCTAATTGCCCCTTGATGCAGTGGGGAGGTGGCTTCCTGTTTTCCTGGTAAAGAAGAAATGTGCAGATACTACAAACTTGTAATATTTTGAAACCCACCATTCTCTTCCTAAGCTCTAAGAAGGTCATTACACATATTGTGGCTTTTTTTTAGCTTCTAGTATGGTCTGCTGGATAAAGAAAATATAGCTCTATCCCACTGTCTTCTGGAAGCTCTAAAAGACTTACTTCATTACATGATACCCAGAGGAGGTCCTATCTCTCTGCTTTCCTTCACACTGGACACAAAGTCATTTATTACTTGAGGTGGCAGCACCAGAAAACAAAGCAAGGTACTTTCAAGGTTGAAAATAATGTTTCCAATGTTGAATTGGAGATTTAATGTTTCTACTAAATCAAACAAAAGGTCTGAAAAAGAAACTTCATGGTGAGCAAGATATTAAAAATATTTTAAATAAATAATTAAAACAAATTAAAGTCTACAGGCAAACCTATGGAACACCTGAAGTTCCTATGGACTCCTAAGAAGCCCACAGCAGTGTTCAACAATTTTGAAATGCCAAGAAAATGAAGGAAATCATTCAGTATCTATTCAGTTATATCAATCGATTCCTTGTTTTCCCAAAGACAATAGTATAGATCCTAAGTGTGCGGCATTAGGGGAAACAAAGATGGTTTGCAAAGACAGAAAGATATGGTGAGATATAGTGAACAGCATTAGTGTGAGCTCTTTTAGCCATGTTTCCTCCACCCACCCACCCCTGCCTTAACTACTTCACCATACAAAAAAGGCAGTGAGTTAATTTATAGTAACACATTTGCATATTATGTTTATGCATATTGTATATATTGCTGTGAAATTTTGAGTATGATCCTATCTAGAAAGAATACCTAAATGTAGGCTGCAATGTGAAGCACTGTCATACAGTACTTAAAAGGATTTTCTTTCACACTTCATAATACCACATTTGCACTTTACTGTTTCTACAAATGTAATTCTCCTTTGATTAAATGCAACATATGCTATTTTATTTGACCCACAGTTTGTATTCCTATAGACCAGTATTTCTCAACCTTGGCAGTGTTTCTCAACCTTGGCAACTTGAAGACGTGTGGACTTCAGCTCCCAGAATTCCACAGCCAGCATGCTGGCTG